TAATCGGAAATTTTATGCTTCGCTATAGAAAGAATTATTTTTTTAAAATTATCAGGTGTGATATATCCAATACCTTCTTTATCATAAAATTTAAATTCTTGCCTAAGTCGTTCTGCTTGCAATCCTTTTAATAATTGCGTAAACTCTTCGTAAGCCAATTCATGTTTTTTCTCTGGTGCGCTACCAACATATAATTTTAACCAATCACAATCAAAATCAAAGGGTATACTATCTGGGGTAACATTCGAAAACAAAATATTTTTGAATTGTTCGATGGTAATTTTTCCTTTTCCTTCGACATCAAATAGTCTAAAAGCGATTTCATATTCGGCATCCGGTTTTGAAAGTAAATTTTCAAAAATTACAAAATCCTGAAAAGATATTAATCCTTTTTTACCATTGTCAGCTATTCTAAATAATATTCCGAATTGTTCCTTTTGAATTTTTTTATAATCCTCTCCCGGTGCTATAGCCGAAACAAAATCATCCTGATTCATATATTTTTGACCGTCTATTTCTACTGAAGCAAACCTTGCAAAGACTTTTTTTTGTTTTAAAAGGAGATTTTCGGATGAAATTAAACTGCTAGTTGTTGGCCGCATAAGTTCAAGTGAAGCAGAAGCAGAGGGTGATGGTGAATTTGCTGATTGCAACATCATGAAATTCAAACGAGAAATAAAAATTTCGAAAGTTTTTTAATTTTATCACCTATATATGCTGAAAAAATTTTTCTGAAGTTGAACTGAGGCGCGTGTGTACATATTTGAATACCATTTTGAGGAGAAATTTATGCGGGGTCGCGAAAGAAAGTGTCCGTCAAGCGAGTGGTTACGTTACAATTATGCAAATTGTACACAATAGTGAAACAAATATCCTCCTGTCAACAGACAAAAGCCTATAAAAGGCGTTTTCTACAATCACTTTGACGGAGTCCTAACGCTAAAGGCCGTAAAATTTTCGTGGGAAGTCGGAAAATTCTTGACAGATTGTGTTACCGTTACCTGATCGTTATGTAATTTGCATATCCAACGATTACACGAACTTTTGCATTAAGTGTGAAGAATAACAAACGAAACACATTCAATAAAAAAGTTTTTTTTTGGCCTCTATATGAGATAAAACTATCGATATGGTTACAATAAAGTTAATATATAATAATATCGAGGTATGCATATTAGTTCAGCCAATTAAAATCGTAAATTTAACATCACATGTTGATTAGCCAATAAAATCGTAAATTTTTAAAAACCGAAATTTAAGTGTACATTATTGGACAGATGACAAAAAATTGACTGTTATTTGTCGTACGTATGTTCATTAATATCACCATGTGAAAATAATACCGTTAAATGTGCGTGGGACGTTGGGGTATTTCAAATACTAATTAGGCAAAATGATGTAAGGATCAATAATAATGCTGTTACGGTTAGATTTTATGCATAAAATTGATCGGCAAAATTGATACATCTTTACTAGTAATTACTATGAAAAAAAAGCGTTTAAAAATTTGGTATATTTCATGTACAAGTAATTTTTTTCTAGCAAATCTTGTAGCAAACAATTGGCACGATATAGCCAAATGAAGTTACAATTTAAAAATTTTAATTAATCGATAATTTTTGATTATTCCATTAGTAGGAATTTTTTCTTTTGTTTCGCTATATATCCCCCGGCTAAATGATGAGCGTTTGTCATGAATTGGTCTTGATAATCAAAAATTTAAAATCGTAATTATGTGAAGAGGTTTTTAATCATATTATATGTAAAATTTTATTAAAAGTTATTATGATAGTTTTAATGCTGGACTATTTTAAAGTCAACTTTTATGATTGTTAAACATTTTAATCATGAGTATTAAGAATTGGCTTTGATAACAGAAAATTTAAAATCATAATCGTGTAAAAGAGTTTCTTACCATATTATAGGTAAAGCTTCATTGTAAAGTTTTGTAATAGTTTTAATGTTGAATCTTTGAAGATTCGGTTGAAAGAATGTTGCCGGGTATATTAGGATCTTCATGGGTGCAAAAATATTAGATAATACGTAAAAATCCGTACTAGTAATTTTTATTATAATACCTTATATAGACTTGATTATTTAATATATGAAATACCCCAGTGGGACGTGGGATCGCGCGTTGCCCATCACTATTTTTTATGAAAATGAATTTCTAATCTTTTTACAAAATTTTGCTTCTCTATATTAGGGCTGATTGGTTTGCTATTTTGCAATTACTATATATGATTAGAATATAGATTCAAGAATTTTTTTTCATAGGCATAGCTATTAGGTGAAAGATGGAGCTCTTGGTGAAAGATGATAAAAACTTCGGAGAAATGGACCATGCTGTATATATTTTATAATAATTAGAAACGACAATAGATTTGGATCAAAGTCCCGACAAATGACAAAGTTGATTATATCTATCACGAACCTAGCATAACTACCAAGATCAGCTGACGAAGTTTCAAATAATATAACAGAAAATCCTTCGATTTTTTTTTTTTTACATATCCAAGTATCAAAACATTGTTTCACTGTATATCAAAAACCAACCAACCCAATTTATTTGAAGCTAATAAAAAGGTCTGTATTAACGCTTAAATCGGGTAAATGAAAGCATAGAAAATAAGAAACATATGGGCTAATTCGGGACATGCATAAAGTCTAACCTCAGTACCCCC